TAATACTGATGCCTCAAATTCTATCTATTTACAAGAAGTTAATTTTTATGCAAATCAACTGACTATTGAGAGTAAAGTTTACATTCTTAATTATTTTTAGGATCTTTAAGAATTAGAAAAATAGTTGAATATGGAGGTTCCATCATTTGCTATGACTGTTTGGCTTTCCAAGTTCAGAGAATGTCAATAAAAGAGTCTTAAGCTTAACAGGGTGGTGCTATATACTTAGAATAATCAGATTCTATCAAAGAAAAGTATACTAAAGCAGGTATATACTATAAAGTAAGTATTTTAAATCAAAAATAAATTTTAGTTCATAAATTCAACATTTGAAAACTGTAAATCAGCAGAGGACGGAGGTGCAGTTTTTCTCCAGAATATCTATTCTACTATTTTAGAGGGAAATGTATTTTCTAAAAATTAGGGTAAAAACGGAGGAGGTTTGTATTTAGGCTGTCCAAACACAAATAACTGCACTTATCAATTTTCAAAGACCAACACTTTTAAAAATAATTATGCTTCTGTTACAGGTGGAGGATACTAATGGAGTGATGTAGAGCCTGTCAAAATGCCTAATTCTAAACTAATACTAGAAAATAATAAAGCTGATGTTTATGGAGATAACGTTGGAAGTTATCCCTAGAAAATAGTTTACTTGACAAAAGAACAGTACAATGCATAGTTATTAAGAGCAAGTAATAATAATGCTGTCGATACCTCTAGAAGATTATAAAGTTCCTCCATGAATTAGACTAGCTTAGCTTAAGATGGGGGTGTTAGTGGCTAAGATCTTCCAGAATTTTATATTGGACTTTCTGACGGTGATGGATAAATTGTTGGAACTTAAAATGGTAAAAAGATTGAAGTATCATTCAAAACTACATTAAGCTCTGGAACTGGTGCTCTTTAGTATTCTCCAATTATAACTGGGGAAACAGTGTTCTATTCTTAGTTTGGAGTTTACAGAATGAAAAATATATCATTCACAGCTACTCCAGGTTATAAATATCAGCTATCTTTGGTTTCAGATGGAATAGATATGTCAAAGCCAGCTAATTAATTATAATCAAAGAATCTTACAAGCAATTAAAGCAATATTGAATTCAATTTGACTATAGAGCTGAGAGAATGTGCAATTGGAGAAAGATTTACTGAAACAGGGGCGTAAGTTTAAAATAATTCATTAATAATTTTAGATGTGACTCGTGTCCCGAGGGTAAATCCTATTCATTGATAAGAATGACTGAACCTGGCACATGTAAATCTTGTCCAACTTCAAAAGCGATTTGTAATGGTGGAGCTAATATAGGTCCACAGCCAGGCTATTGGAGGAAGAATAATTTAACATCAACATTTGTAAAATGTTTTAACTAGGGTGCATGCCTGTAAATTTTTATAGTTTAATCCATTATAGAGGAATGATCTCACCAGATTATGATCCATAGGGAACATGCAGAACTGGATATTAAGGAATTATATGTGCAGATTGTGAGCCAGGGTATTCAGTTTCAAATTCTTTCGAATGTGCAAAGTGCCCTGAATATATTTAAAATCTTCTCAGAATCATAGCTATATTGATTGTAGCAATATGTGTCATAGTTTACTTGATTAGAAGTACTTTATAAGGCGCTGCAGATGTAAAAAATGTAACAAGCGTGTTCTAGAAGATCTTGCTTAATCACATATAATTAATTGTACTCACAGCATCATTTGATTTTAGCTGGCCTCAAGTCGTCATGAGTTACTTCAAGACTAATGAAACAGTGGGGGAAGCTACTAGCTAAATATTTTCAGTAGATTGTTTTCTAAATAGTGATGAGGGATATGGTAAAAATTAAGATAAATCTAAATAGGAGAACTTTTTACTTGTTAGAATATTCTATTTTAAACTGGCAATGTATGCTCTATTACCCTTTATTCTGGTTATCACCTGCTACACTACATGGACATTACTTTAATGCAGAAACAAGGATAAATCTATACTCAAGACAAAATCTACATCTTCTGTTGTTATTTTACTGTTTTTGGTTCATCCAAACATTGTCAGATATGTTTTTAATTCTTTCAAGTAAGATTTCTTAAATTTATTGTTTATGTATTAGTTGTGTTGATATTGATGGAGAACAGAGAATAAAGACCGACCTTGAAATTCTATGCTATTAAGGATAACATTCTATGTGGGCATTAGGTGTAGCATTGCCTGCTCTAATAGTTTGGGGACTAGGAATTCCAATGTTTGCATTTTTCTTGCTCTAAAAAGATAAATTGACAATTGAAAGTCTAGAGACAAGGTAAAAATACGGTTTCTTATACAGAGGTTACAAAAGAAGATTCTTCTATTGGGAAATAGTTATTACCTACAGAAAAATATTCTTGATATTTATTTAAGTTTTTCTTGTTCAAGCAGGAGTTATCACTTAGGTATGTATTTTCGAATATCATAATTTTTTAGGCTATGCTAGTACTTCTTATGCTAATCCTATTTATGGGTGTCAACTTGACTAAAAATCCTTTCTAAACAGTAGCTCTTAACGAATTAGAAACACTTTCTCTAATTACATCACTACTTACTATATTCTGTGGAATATTTTTTATAGTCTCTGTTGATACAACAGATGTAGAAACTGGAAATGAAAATTCAAGTTCTCAAGTCAGCTTAAATGAGAATACAAAACTTATGCTTTTCTTTATTATTCTATTCAGTAATATGGCTTTCTTTATATACTGGGTTTATAAGATGTTTAATGAAGTGTAGAATATGCTAATGAAAAAATTTTCTAAGCTTTACACTATTTTATTTCTCTGTGGCAATAAAGAGAAGTTCAATTTAAAGATTAGCGAAGCTTTATTAAAAGAAGAAAATGAAATATTCCGGGAGAAATATCATGATTTGTTATAGAAACTCGGACATTTATGCGATAATGGAGAGCTATTCCTAAATTCAAAGAACTTTGAAAGGATATAGAGTTATTTATAAATAGAAAAGTTTTTATCAGCAGCTGGTATTGATCCTCTTGAAGAGAACTTAAAGGAATTCGAGAATCACAAGGTAAAAAGAATTAAGAGAGACAAAAAAAATTAATCATTGAGGGATACACTTGCTGAGTCCTAGAGAAACTTGAATATTCCAGACTTAGCTGAAACATAAGGCATTGAAATTGAAGATATAGTAGATCAATAAAATCTAAGCAAGAATTCTAAATTGATTAAGAAAAGTGTCACATAGTCAATAAAGACAAGCACTTAATCAGGAATTAACTTCGTACCATAACTCTAATGGGGTCAGAGGCGCTCCATTATGTTCAGACAAAGATAATTTAATAGTCAATCTACAATGGAGAAATATGGAGACCTATTTACAGAATCTAAAGAAATAGACCATGAAATTCTGAGTGGGAGTGAGAGTGAAATGAAAGTATCTAAAACTTCATAATCATTGAAAGCAGAACCAAGAAATTAGAAAGATAAGAAAGTAAAAATAATAGTGGATAATTTAGATTTAAGCATGCAGAATAATACTTTATCCGACATCATTATTCAGCAAGAAATCACTGAGTAAAAAGCAAACAACCAGAAAAATGAATTGGTAATCAGAAATTAGTCTTAAGCTAAGGTTAATCCTACTGATCTTATTGAAGTAGATGATCAATAGATAAATAATAATATAGATGATTATGCAGTAGAAAAGAGAATTCAGAATAGCTAGATTTAAATCATTCTGAAGAATAATTTCTTGAAACTAAACTCAAAGGCATCTAAGAAGCAAGATAATTTTGAAATCAGAAAATTAAGAAACAATCAAATTTAGAATCAATAGAGATATAAGAAGCTAAGGACAATGAAGCCAGCTTCGAATGAAATTAAGTTAGAAAATCTAGAGCAAAGCCAATTATCAGAGAATGAACTTTCTCGATAGAAAAGGGATACCTATTTAGATGATGTTAACGATCATAGCTTATTGATATAAGATGAAGAATTTAATTAGGAATAGTAAAAGGATATTTATGCTGTTGAAGATGAATATGAGATTGATGACAGTTTAAATTTTTAAACTTCAAATTATAACTCAAATGAGATTAGCCAAACTTTCATTAGTAAAATTAGGGAGTAAAATGAGATAAAGTTTAGTCCTAAGAAACAAAAGCACTATAGCGATAAAAAAGATATGGACATGGACTTTGATTAACAAGTAAATGAAAAAATTGATAAAAGCTTCAAGAATATTAATTACTGAGGGCTATTCACTTCTTAATATTAAGATTTTATTAATATTTAATCTGATTATTTGCGATTTTAATTATATATCAAAGTTAGATTGACGGGGTTTTGGGGTTTTGGGGG